GGGCCATAGAGACCTCTCCTCCTGGGGGAACGTAGAGCTCGCTCCTGGCAGCGCAATGACAAGGCCTCCAGGCCTTCGTTGGAGGGAGTGCACGTGGCCCGTACCCGGTCCAGGCAGCAGGCTGTCCAGGACACCGCCCTCCCTGATGGCCTCCTTCACCATGAGCCAGTCCTGGGTTAGTGTCCGGGCGGCCAGCAGGCCCGTCTGTGCAGCAGGGGCCTCGTCCAGGACCTGAAGCTGGGGGATGAGTCTCCGCACCTCTGTCCGGTAGTTGTAGCCCCGGGGTGCCTGTGGGGATGGGAGGCAGACCTGGGTCCTGGCTCCACCCTACCTGGAGGGACAGTGGTGCCCCTTCCGGTGGACCCTACCCAGAACCTGCAGCAGGTGGTTTCAGTGAGCAGTGGCCAGCCTGGCCTGGGGAATGGGCGCTATGAGTTCCAGCCAAAAGGGGCTGCATGTTTCCTGGCTGGGGGCGTGTCATACACAGTGTGTGTGCTATGGTTCTGGACTAGTGTGCACAGGCATGTGTACAAAATTCTGTGGAGATGGTCAGCAGAGATGTGGGGCCCTTTGTGGTAGGGGAACACCTGGGGTGTGTGTGTGCACATGGGGCCTGTGTGTTTGGCCGGGTGTGTGCGTTCACCTGGGGCCCGTGGGCTGGCTGGGCTAGGAGGCACAATGGTACTGCCAGGACAGAAGAGAAAGGGCTCACAGGGAAACAAGCCACAGGTGGGCTGTTTCCTGGGGAGACTCCTGCCTCCTGGCAGGACCTTGGGCTGGACAGGGTCCTCAGACTGTGGGAGGGCGGAGGGGCTAGAGCCATGGATGCCTGCGTCCCACACACCTTGTTGGAGAGGCCAGGGCCAGGCCGCAAGCACACCAGGTTACCCTCCAGGGTGAGTGTGGACAGCCGGGGGCACAGCTGCAGGTAGCGCACCTGCCCCAGGTCCTCCACGCTGTTGCCCTCCAGGTCCAGCACTTCCAGCTGCTCGAGCAGGCACAGTGGGCTCAGGTCCGAGATGTTGTTGTAGGCGACATAGAGTTCCTGGGGCAGCCCGGGGAGGGACGAGGGAGTTAGCCAGGGCCTGGCTGGCTCCCGTCCCCCAGCCTAGGAGAAGCACACCCACCTTCAGGGCCGGGAAGGAGCCGATGCCGTCTAGATCAGACAAGCCACAGCGAGCCAGCCAGAGCACCTGCAGGTGGCCTAGGGATGTGCCCAGGTCTCTATAGAAGGCGGGAGTAGGTGTCGGTGCAGTCTGGGAGCACTGGGGAGGCACCAAGCCATGTCTCACCCTAGTCACTGCCCACACCTGTGTCCAGGTGCAGGACCAGACCTGTGACTATGGCTGTGGAGGCCCCAGACCTGCCGTTCCCTCCTTGCTGCTGCTTCCGGGTTTGGCATGGGCAGAACTCTAGACCCAGAAGTGGTCGAATGCTCTCCACCCTCTCTGAGGCCTGGTAGGCCTGGACCTAGCCTTGGGGAGCTGCCCTTGTGCTGCTCACTTGAGTGCGGGTGGGAGCGTAGACTTCTACCACAGTGGAGTTTCTCAGAGAGCTAAACCTGTCCTCCATTCATTCTCCCTCTCTGTGGACTCTTCCTTGCCAGCATCTCCCCCTCTGCCCATCAGGACCCTTGCCCACTGGGTGTCTCACATCTCCTGACTTGGGCTTAAGCCCACTGTTGTACGTCCTTCCAGTCAACCCATCAATGACGCTCATTTCTGGGATATTTTTGTATGTTTCTCTTTCTCCTTCATGTTCTCTGTTCTCAGATGTCGGTCCTCTGACACTGACAAACATTCTGACCCTGTCTCTCTTAGTTCCATCTTCTTGCCTTTCCTTTGACTTTCTCAGGGATTTCCATATATTCCTAACTTTCCACCTTCTTTTGATGCTTTCTCCATCGTTCAATAATTTGCCCAGAGAATCCTTCAATAAAGAAAGCCGAGGCTTGAATTTTTTTCTTCAGTTCCCCCAGCTTGAGAAATGCTGAGCGTGTTCTTCCCTTTCGGTTTTCTAACTCCAGGTCTTTGCGCATTTTGTTATAATATTGGACTTTGTCTTCTTGAGCTGGTCTTTGAAATTTTCTGTTCAGCTCTTGTACTGCCCCATTTCTTCCATTTACTTCAGCATCTCTACGCTGGAGAGCAAGTTTTAGAGTCTCTTCTGACATACGTTTTGATCTTTTCTTTCTTTCTTGTCTTCTTAATGACTTTTTGCTCTCTTCATGTATGATGTTCTTGATGTCATCCCACAACTCTTCTGGTCTTCCGTCTTTAGTGTCTAGTATATCAAATCTGTTCTTCAGATGATCTCCAAATTCAGGAGAGATATATTCAAGGTCATATGTTGGCTTTTGTGGACTTGTTTTCATTTTCTGCAACTTCAGTCTGAATTTGTATATGAGCAACTGATGGTCTGTTCCACAATCTGCCTCTGGCCTTGTTTTGGCTGATGATATGGAGCTTTTCCACCATCTCTTTCCACAGATGTAGTCAATTTTATTTCTCTGTATTCCGTCTCTTATGTTATTTAAAGAAGTTATTTGAAATGAACAAATCATTGATTTTCTAGCATTCTATCATGTGATCTCCAGCATCATTTCTATCACTAAAGCCATATTTTCCAAGTACTGATCCTTCCTCTTTGTTTCCAACCTTTGCATTCCAATCACCAGTAATGATCAATACATCTTGATTGCATGTTTGGTCAATTAGTTGGTAGAGTTCTTCATTTTCATCCTCCTGGCTTTAGTGGTCGGTGTGTAAATTTGAATAATAGTGATATTAACTGGTCTTCTCTGTAGCCACATGGATATTATCCTATCACAGACAGCGTTGTACCTCATGACTGACCTTGATATGTTCTTTTTGATGATGAATGTGGGATCATTCCTCTTCAATTTGTCATTCCTGGCATAGTAAACCATGTGATTGTGTGATTCAAAATGGCCAATACCAGTCCATTTCAGCTCACTAATGCCTAGGATATCGATGTTTATGTGTTCCATTTCATTTTTGACAATTTCTGATTTTCCTAGATTCACACATCATACATTCCATGTTCCGATCATTAAAGGATGTTTAAGCTGTTTCTCTTCATTTTGAGTTGTGCGCCATCAGCAAATGAAGGGATTTACTCCATTCACGTCATCACGGTCAACTCTACTTTGCAGAGGCAGCTCTTCCCCAGTTGCATTTTGAGTGCCTTCCAACCTGAGGGGCTCACTTTCCGGCACTATATCTGACAGTGTTTCTCTGCTGTTCATAAGGTTTTCAGTGACTAAATAGTCAGAAGTAGTTTGTCACTCCTTCTTTCTAGTCTGTCTTTATCTGGAAATACACAGAATCACTGTTACCAAAAAGAAATGGTTGATGTTCAACTATTTCAAGAGGTAGCATGTGATCAAGAGCCAATGATACTGAAGGAAGAAGTCCAGGGTGCATTGAAGGAATTAGCAAAGAACACGGTACCGGGAATTGGTGGAATACAAATCGAAATCTTTCAAGAAAGTGAGGTGGCACTGGAGACACTCACTCATCTATGCCAAGAATTTTGGAAGACAAATATCTGGTCAACTGATTGGAAGAGACCCGTATTTGTGCCCATTCCAAAGAGAGGTGACCCAGTGGAATGTGAAAATCATCAGACAATATCTTTGCTATCCCATGCGAGTAGTTTTACTCAAGGTAGTATAAAAACGGCTGTAACCATACATTGACAGAGAACTTTCTGAGGTTCAAGTCAGATTCAGAAGAGGATGTGGAATAAGGGATATCCCTGCTGATGTCCGATGGATCTTGGCTGAAAGCAGAGAATATCAGGTTTTTTGAAAACCATTTTTATCATTCCTGTCTCCAAATGTCCTCCTGGGTCTCTATAGAATTGTGTCCCATTTTGTCTTCATGTCTTTCATGGTGTTATTATTGTATTCTATTTGTTCAGAGTTTGCATTCATTCTTCCGCTGGCTCTGAACCAAGTCACATGATTATGCTTAGCTGTATGGGAGGCTGGGAAATCTCCTGTTTATTTTGGATGGTCACATGTCCAGCATGAATAAAACTGGGGGATGTAGTACCAAAGGATAAGCCACAAAGTGGCCATTCACACCCACCAGCTGCTCCTCAGAAATCCGATATAGGGTCACTGTGAGTTGGAATTGACCCGACAGCACTTAACAACAACATACTAAAGAAAAATAAACGAATAGATTTTGTTGCATTTTAGATTAAAGAGGAAGTCAACAGGAAAATTATAGAACACTTAGAACAAATGACAAAAATCAAAGCATATAAACATTGATGGAATCCTTTTAAAGTGCCACAGAGATCTTTAAATCTATATATTAAAAAAGAGAAGGATTAGAATAACCAAGCTAAGTATTTAGTCCAAGAAGATGGAGAAAGGAAAACAAATAACAAAGGTATAAGGAAGAAGGACATAAGGAAGGACAAAAAATAACAGAGAAGATTCACAGAGCTGTTATCAATTGAATGTGTCCCCCAGATATGTGTTGACTTGGCTGGGCCACAATTCTCAGTGGTATGTGATTATCCACCATTACGTGGTGATGGGATCACCCCATGTGTTATAAATCCTCACTTCTGCATGTTAATGAAGCCAGATGCAATCTACAAGATGAGGTTGTATTCTGAGTCGATCTCTCTTGTGATGTGAAAGAGACAAAGCAAACAAGCAGAGCTCACGGGGCTTCAGCATCACTGAGAAAGAAGAGCAGAGAGTGCAGCCCGTCGTTTGGATGCAGGGTTCCTGTGCTGGGAAACTCCTAGACCCAGTGACGTAAGGTTGCTGATAACGACCTTCCCCCAGAGCTGCCCAAGAGTCAGTGTCCTGGATGTAGACTTTGATGAGAGAGTAAATGTTGTTTAAAGTCATCCACTTATGGTTCTCTAGAGAACTAATACAAGAGCCCAAAGCCAATTCTTTAACAAGATTAATAGTCTCCTAGCACACTAGTCATAGATGAAAGGAGAGACAATGAAAATCAATGTGCAGACTTTAAACAGAAATAATCATGGATACAGCAGAGATATAAAAATTATAAAAGATTGTTATAAGCAAGCTATCCAGCAGCAAATTTGAGAACTTAAGACAAAGCTATCAACACAAGAAACATAAATTGATTAGAGTAATAACCCCTAGATAAAGTGTAATCAAAGACCCTCTCCTCTCCACCTCTCAAACCCCAAAATATGTACCTGTTTTACAAGTGAGTTTTAATGATCATTAAATTGATATTTTCTATTTCCTGCAGTAATTTCCTATAAGATACAATAAGTTTCAGAAATTAAAAGAAGGATATTTAAAAAACAAAAACTTTAAAGAGAGACACCTTAATACTTGATCTTTGATTTCAGTATCAGTTAAGGACGGTACTAGGATATTAAAAGACTATTTCACTAATTAAAACAGATGTGAAAACTGCTAAGTAAATATTATTTTAAAGCTACATTGATTTTAAAGTAATGCATCATGATCAAGTAATGTTTACTGCAGGAATGCAAGAATGAATTACCGTCATAAAACTATCAGAGGGGGAGTTGACAAAATTAATAGAGTCAAGGAAAAATATCCTCTTACAGTCATAGTAATAGATGCAAATCTATTATTGGTGAAGAATCTTAGACACATACCCATTAAGATCAGGAACCAAACAAGGAAGCCTGATTCTATCACTGCTACTATTTAACATGATGCTGGAGATCCTGGCCAATGCTATAAGACAAGAAAAATCAATGAGACGTGTAAGGGTTGGAAGAGAAAAGAAAACATTGTCATCATTTGCTGATAATGGGATTATCAACATAGGAAACTGAAACAAATTATTTGAACAAATCGACAGTTCAGCAATATTGATATGTACAATAAATCAATTTATAGAAATCAACAGGGTTTCTCTCTATTTACAGCAATCATTTGGAAAATGCAACAGTAACAAGAGCTCATTCATGACTGAACATACTGTATGATTGGGAATTAATTCCATTCTGGTGTCAGGGGCCCATGTGCTTTAGAGGAGGCTGGTATACTACCCCATCCCAAGTGGCAGTGAGGTAGGGAGCATCCTGGATAGTCTAAGCCCATCATAATCCATCCCCTTGCCAATGACTGGTATAGGAGGGTGTAGACAAGATTAAATTCTAGCCCAGGAAACATGAGGGGAAGAATCCTTGTTCTAATGGACACAGGTGGGCACATTCCC